TTAGGGGTAGACAATCCATCACGGTCCACTCAATCCATCGAAACATATCGGTGGTGGCTTGATCAACAAGACGCAGCGACAAAAGGTTCTGTGTCCGAAGTGCAGCTTCGGCGTCGGTTGCGTAGGTAGGGTGGTAGCGCTTGAGATGGTTAATCACATTAGTGTAGCCGTTACCGGACTTGATCGTCTTGAAGCAGCTGTTACAGCTGTACAACCCAGGCGTCTCCTGGTGTCGTGAGAGTGCGGACAAGAATGCGAGTTTTGAGGGGCATGGTAGATTGCAGAATGACTAATGTGCTAGTATGGGTGGATGAATGGATTCAGCGTCTTGTTAGCTTCCTTCTCGGCTTTAAAACTACTGGTTCAAGGCTTGAGGTGAGTAGCACAGTAAAAAAAACAATATTTTTACTGTGTCTGCTACTGTAAAAATTGGGGAAACTTTTAAACTTAAATTTTGTACTACCAATTAATAATTAAATTAAAAAATCTCAATTAGTTGTTTTAATAATTACATTATGAGCACCCCTGACCGTCACCGTGGTCGCCTAGTGCTTCACCCATTTCACGAGTGTAGCCCATGGCGATCCAGCAGATGATACTGAGAGCTCCAGCGACGATGAGGAACGGTCGACGACGTCCCATTTTCATGGTACTTCGATCACTGAAGACACCGACGCTCGGAGCTACCAGCACACCAGCAATTGGGCCGATGAATTGAGTGATCTAAACAGCATACCGTGGAAGCATCGTCGACAGGTAAGGGCCTAGAGCAGCCCATTGAGCTGTCCAGGCCATTTGAATCGCCATTCGGGGCATGGAAATTGCCAGCAGCAGCCAAAGTGAGGGATGAGATGGGACCTTTTTATCGCCATCTTGGAGATTTTCAAGCTTGGGTGAAGCGTGCAGGTCGTAGCCTTGCTCGGAATCTTTCATCTCCGATGGTGGAAGAGCTAGATGGTGCTTGCCTCGGAGAGAGAAGATTGGAAAATGGCCAGCACTGCGAGCACCGTTTGAGTAGGCCTGTTCTTCTTCAACATCAACGCAGAGCCAAGGTACCAAGTCGCGCTGCTACAGGCAGTAGCCTACCGCAGGAATGGATCTGATACTCCCCAATGGATTGTAAAGGCACAAGTTGAAGTGAAACCTCGAGAGCTTTGGTGGTACAGTATCCGCTACGGTCCAAGATTAAAAATGGTTGACCCATTTCGCGATGCGGGAAATTGATCATGATGAGATTCATCAGTCGCCATCTTTACTTTTCTTGACGCGTTAGCCACTGCATCCCAATGGATAATAATTCCTACATGTAGAAAAAAATGGAATGGCAACTAAATTGTATCCAAGCCTCATGACTTTAATCAGTGCAGCAGCTTGTAATGAAAGGTGAATAGTTTTAGGGTCGCTCTCTTTTTGGCATTAAACAAGTGTCTTTGACACGTAGCTTTTGAAGAGACGCATCAAATCCTGAGCCGTCGACACCTCATGGCGTTCTGCTGCGTAGGAAGTCCGCTGGATGAAATGAAGCGGCTGGAGAAGTTGCGTGAGCGAGATCCGGAGTCTGCAGAAAACTTAGTTGCCAACGGGAAGTTGCTCGTCGACTTTGTGCGCAATGGGAATCTGCGAGCATTGCAGTGCGCAGCGGAGCATCTCGGGGAGGTACCGTACTGTAGAATCATTGCGAGGTATCCATCCTTACATCAGCGACTTATGAATCGTTCTTACTCGTTGGTGTCCAGGGTCAAATGCTGATCTTTTATGCCGTGCGGATGTTTCGAGAGGCCTGTGCGGGTAGAAGAATGGATATCCTGCAGTTCATGCTGCTGAACGGCTTCGATCTCCAACAGAGCTACATGAGAGACATCCTACACAGCGTCATCGAGAACGTCGACAGTCCACAAAGTGCGGAGGCTGTGCAGCCACTTATTCGCTTCCTTCTGGATGCTGGTGTCGATGTCAATTGGCAAAGGAAGGCGGATCTCTACACTGCTCTGCATGTTGCATGCTGTAAGAACTTGTACCCCATCGCGTATTTGCTGGTTCTTTATGGCGCCGACGTGAATGCGATTGCTGCGGTAAGTTTTGATAGCTTCAACTGTGGCTAGTTGAGCTTTCCTTTAAGTTGTCTGTCACGTTACCACACCCCTTGCCTTTGTTTTCCTTTGCGTCGTACTTGCTGCCTCCTGTGGCGGGATCTTGAGGGTTGGGAGCTTCTTAGGTATACCCGGCCAAGTAGTAAATCCGGTTAACCTTCGGATCTGCACGTGTAAAGGATAGCTCAC